CCAATATGTTTGCCCCTCCTACGGCTTTGCCTCCTCCACCTCCACTGACGTCGGGGACGCTGCAGGTTCCAGGACACCCCGCTGGTAGTACTTACTCAGGTAAGAGGCAGACGGGTCGTGGCCCCAGCGCGTCTGGTGTGGCGTGGGAAACCGATTCTCCGCTCCCAGTCGGAATAATTCTGCTTGGTCCATTGGGTGAGAGTGGTTGGTTGGCTGTACGCATTGCTGAGCAGCGTGGAGTGATGCCGGCGCCAGACCTAGACATGCCCAGTGACTTTGCTTCTACCCTGGAATGGCCGTTTTTGGAAGGCTGTGCTTTTTCCGTGTCTGTTTTTTCTCTCCCCGTGGTGAAAACACACTGGAGGTCATCATGTGCCTGGAGAGAATCTGTGACCTCCGCAGCCAACGTCTTTGCTGCAGTTGTGGTCTGTGCTCAGCGTTGCTTCCCCGGCTGGGGGAAGGTCTGCCACAGTGGTCCTGGGCTCCTGTCCCTGCCAGATTCGGGGTGTGTGGCAGGAGGAGAGATGCGGAGAGTTTTAGTTTTATACTGCGACTGTGGGGAGAAGCAACGTGTTCCAGGTCACTGGGAGGGAACCAGGGGAAGAAAATAGAGGATTATCAGCGTTAGAGTAGTATCATTTTGTGTCCGTACAGCAGGGTACTCGTGTCAGCAGCAGGCGCTCTCGGTGTTTGCTCCCTCCAGGTTACCCCCCCATGCCTCCTCACCGAGAAAATTTTAGTTTTATACTGCGACTGTGGGGAGAAGCAACGTGTTCCAGGTCACTGGGAGGGAACCAGGGGAAGAAAATAGAGGATTATCAGCGTTAGAGTAGTATCATTTTGTGTCCGTACAGCAGGGTACTCGTGTCAGCAGCAGGCGCTCTCGGTGTTTGCTCCCTCCAGGTTACCCCCCCATGCCTCCTCACCGATTTAGGACTGCGTCCGTGCCTGTGCAGATGTGGGGAGAACCCTCAGGTCAGCGCTCAGAGGAGTGCTGTAGTGAAGGCAGGCCTGCTGAGAGGGGGGAAATGGAGGCTTTTCTTTCTCCTGTCTCTGAGGCCTTTGGGGAAGATCTGGGAGAGCTTTCTCACCCGTTACAGTGTCATGATTTACCACCAGCAAGTTCTAAATACGGCGTTGCTACCACAGCCAGCAGAAAGTAAGCGGCACAAGGTGTGGAGAAGTCCCTGAGCTCACGGGGGGTTGTTTTGCTGTTTGTGTTTCAGAGCAAGATCTTCTCCGTCAGGAACTAAACACGCGATTCTTGGCCTCGCAGAGCGCAGATCGCGGGGCCTCGCTGGGCCCGCCGCCGTACCTGAGGACCGAGTTCCACCAGCACCAGCACCAGCACCAGCACACACACCAACACACACACCAGCACACCTTCACGCCTTTCCCTCACGCCATCCCACCCACTGCCATCATGCCAACGCCAGCACCGCCCATGGTGCGTACCCCAGGCAGAAATGTGAGGATAAGTAGAGCACAACTCTATTCTTTATTACAAAAATTTCAGGATTTGCCAGGCTGCGGGGAAGGCGTGCCCTGCTGCCCAGGCGTGGCTGGCTCGGAGAGGGGGGCTGTCCCTTCCTCGCTGTCGGTACACGTACCGGAGGGTCTGGCGGCAGCGCCGGGGCCGCGGCTGGCGGCTGGGGGGGGCACCGCAAGGGGGGGCCCAGGGGCCGAGGCTGCTGGCTGGCGGGCACTCACAGGGGGCTGCCCAGTGCTTGGGGTGCCGCGCTCCAGTGCCTCCCGTTTCGCTGTCTCGTAAAGACCTTGTTTTACCTTGAAGAAAGAAAAATCCCAAACGGTTTCATTGGAAACTAATTTTCTGCATATTTTTTCCTCTCTGTTGGTTGCCAAATGGTAGAGAAGTAGTCTTCTATTTTACCAGCAGAACTAAAGTGAGGGAATATGAAGTAACTAGTTTGTGCTTTGATCCCTTTGCAGTTTGACAAATACCCTACAAAAGTTGACCCCTTCTACCGTCACAGTGTGAGTTCTATTACTCTGTTTAAAACTGACTTCGCTGCTTTTCTGTGGTGGGTTGGGATCACCACTCAGCCAGTGGCACAGTGTCGGTTCTCTCCCTAATCATCACTCCAGGATTTACCATGATCGTTCTCGGCTGCTTTGGCTTTTGAAGGCTTGCATTCGTGGTGCTTGTTTCTGATCAAGATGCAGTATCAGCTTTTCCAATCAAAAGATCTCTTGCTTGTGCACCGTTTGAAGACGGGCTCGATGTGAAAAAGATGAGACAGGAGAGCCGACTGTTACCTGAAGCAGGAGAGCGCAGTAATTGCATCACTGTGTTTCAGTTGTGCCATAAACCCTTAGACTGGTATTTTTCCTAAGAAACTTGAAATGAAATGACAAACTATCATACAGATCCTTCAGGGATAGGTAATCTGATAGTTTTCCTAATATATCATATTTTATTTTATAAAAATCAGAAAACTTGTCTTACTCTTCAGATTTCAAAGGCACATCTGATCCACTGGGCTTGTTGTGGTTTGAAAGCTCTGTTTGATGACAGCAACGTAACTCCAGCTATGCACTAAATGTGTTTATCTAAAAGCTACCAAAAATGTTACTTATTGAGATGAACTGATTTTTAATATTGCAGCGAACTGTAAAGCTTCTGCTTTTAAGGGTTTAAATGTACTGATTCGTTTGCTGCTGAAATACGGGTTGCGTTTCCTTCATCATCTTGGCAGAGGCAGGTATCTGGCTGAATATGACAAGACTTTCTAAATCCAGTCGTGATATTTTGATGAGAGAAGGAGTACTGCATCAGCACTCAGAAATCTGCAAAGCACTTGGCTTTATGTGTTGGTTTTGCTTAGAAGTGGAACTGGGCAAAGAAAACTGGTGAAGATGATGGCGTGATGCTTTTCGCTGTACCAGTGGAACACGGTTCCGGCTGACAGATCATGCCTGTAGTACATGCAAATAGCCCCGCTAATTTCTGACACCTCGTTTGAGTAACTTCAACTGCGTGAGTGTGTTTGCAGGATCAGAGGTCTAGGAGCATTAGGCAAACATTTATGCCTACGATAATCGCTTTTACTCACGAAGATAATGCTGCTCATTTGCATCATTGTTTGCAAAATTGCCCGCTTACTTGCTGAGCTTTACATGGATTCAAAAGATACGTTATCATCAAAGTGACATGTTGATTCAAGCAAGAACACGGAACTGGGAAATAGGTAAATGAATTTTAGACAAATAAAGCAGAGAAGGCTACATGTAATACAAGAAACATGGCAAAAGACTCCAACTGTATATGCTTTTCAAATTCAGTGACATAACCTCCTATAAAGCTGGCAGTTACCTGAATTGCAAAGGTCATGACTGAAGCCCCGTTAAAGCAAGGAAAGGCTTCACGCTGTTCTCTGTTAGCCATGCTGCTGCCCTTGGCAGAGCTCTGGGCCACTGCGCCGCCCCTGCCCTGCCTTCAGGAAAGGTTTGTCCCCGGGAAGTGGTTGCAAAATGATTGCTGTTGTGTCTGTAGGATGTTTAGCAAGTGAGTACCAGAGATCAGCATGATGGCCGCACATTGCATTGGGTCAACGGTCTGTCTGACACTCCAGCAAGGCCTTACTAGCCCAGGTACTGCAGGAATCTCTGCTGTGACTCCAGGTCGTACAGGTAGTGGTGGGACAGCTTGGATCAGTGTCCTGAGCAGCCCCAGCACCAACAAGCACCCTTTGCTGGCAGGAGCACGTACCCGGGAGGGCTTTTCCCATTGCAGGAATACTGTGAAACTGTGACGCTTCCGTAGACCTTTTCCTAGTGACAGGAGTCTCCACTATAGATCCACACCAAGAATTCGGGTACCTTAAGAAAAGCTGGCAATGTTTTTAAAGCTTGTAAGTTAATTTTGTGGGAGGGCAAGGCCTCTCTGAGAGTTCAAGTCAATCCACTTTCGACTAGGGAACCCAGCACACAAAGAAGCTCATGCAGAGATTTAGAAGAGTTTTTTTTTCTTGGTGTCTTTGATTTTACAATCATTTCTTTGGGGAGGGGCGTTGCTGTAGCACAGCGAGACATCACTTCTGCCTGCAGTTAGCGCTGGGTCTAGATGGCACCTGGTCCCAGGAAGGCTGTGGGTACCACGTTGTTCCCTGAAGAAAGCTGGAAGGGGGGAACTTTGCTCGAAAGAGAGGGGGGAAAAGAAAACACTGACTATGAAAGATATATTTTGAAGGCTGGAGGAATTTAGCTGATACAAAGAGATCCTGGAGATACACTGTTATTGATAATTCTGACCTTGAGGAAAGGCCACATTTAATTAACTTAGCAGTTGTTATAAAACTCTAAGGAAAGCATTCCTTATTATTAGTCATAGCCAATAGAATATTAAGTATTACATCTCTTTCTGTCGTTTGGAATTAGTCCATTACACGTAGAATTAAATGCAGAAGACACTGGAGGATATAAAACACATTTTACTCATTAAAAGTTACTGTAAATGAGGACACGTGTCTGTTAATGATTTCTCAGATACTTAGAGTTCAGTATCAATAATCTAAAAATGCTTTCTGCATCACTGAATGGAGCAGATCCAAATTAAATAGACTTAAAACCAACAATAGAAAGGTATCATGAAAGGAGACTTGATACCATGCTTTTAAAACGAGAAAATCTTTTGATACCGCTAAAATGCTGGAATATTTTCTCAGTTTTCAGTAAATATAATATGAATAAATGACTTTGCAAGGTGAGCTAGCGGAAGGATAAACAATTAAGAAAAACACATACTTATGCCTGGCATAAACAATGTCATCACAACTTTGTGATCCTGATTTAGTCTGGGGTGTGATTTCCTCAGTGTTTGCCCGCTCCGCATATCCAGTCTTTTACTTTGCCCAGTCCTGCTTCTGTTTTATTGGCCATTAACTCATTTACTTCGATCTTAAAAGTAGCGTACGGTAGATTGCTTTTCGACCAGCTGTGTCCAGAGGCGAATTTGGGCCAGCCAGGTAACCCCGTGAGCCTGCTGGGTGGCAACGCCAGCGGAGCTCGCAGCCACCCCCGTTAGATCCGGAGCTTTCCCAGTGAGAGCGTCTGTGGAGTGTGATGCTTCAAACCCCGGCTCCTGCCGGAATGCAGTCTTGTGTGCAGTCTCTGCATTTTCCATGGAACCGGTCGAGCGAACTGGGTTACAGCACGAGTAAAAGATTCACAGCCGGGCCACAGAGAGAAGATAAGATTTGGGTGTTACGGTTTACTTGCTGGTTTCCCATGTGTTTCTCTGCGTTAGTACAGAACAGCTTTTTTAAATTATTTTTTCTAAATTCTCTTAGAACAGATACACTGGGATCAGTGAGGTCAGTGGAGATGGGCACTTTTTTCTGCTTAGTATTCTGTCTTTAGGAAAACAGAACCCTGATTTTTTTGGGGGGTCTGCATCAACATTTTGTTTAAGTAGTAATTTTTAACAGATCAGTTTGTCTCTCTGCTAATGTTAGATGTGGCAGGATATCCTCTCAGACAGGCTAATGAAGTAAGAATTGTGCGTATTTTCCTCATTTCCTACAGATACTATTAAAATCCTGACGTACTAATGGAGTTTTAACAATAGAGCATCCTAGAACTCATAAGGCGTTTTTTTTCGCTTAAACAGTGGTTTTCTGAGTCTTATTTGGCTCAGTATTCTGCCTTTTCTCTTGAAATGGTTTGCAAACTGAAACCATTTAAATCTTCTGTCCAATTTAAAAATTAGTAATTGGGGGGGAAAAAAGCCTCTGTTACGCCATGATGGCCTAATCCAGGGGGTCAGGCTGCTGCTTTATGATTTTGGAACTGCTTTTAAGCTCTAAACGTCATGACATTTGTGAACATTTCATTGACTGCTTTAACTAACATTGTTGCAACGAGATCACTTCTTCAGCGCTGCTCAGTTTTCTCCATGTGCCATTTCCCTGATACTACGCAGGAACGCTTGCTCTGTCGTGTCCCACTTGCTGGCTTCACCTTGACTGCGCTCGTATTGATGTTCCGCTGTCTTTCTGTTGCAGCTGTTTCACTCCTATCCTCCAGCTGTATCAGGTATTCCTCCCATGATCCCTCCGACCGGCCCCTTCGGCTCGCTGCAAGGAGCATTTCAGCCCAAGGTAAGGAAGGAGTTGTTTGTATGGCTGTTACTACTCAGATACACCGGTGGGCTCAGCCAGCTTGGGTTTAGGTTTAGAACATGGTTCAGATTCTGGAGCAATGCAGATCTGAGTTACAGCTTAATTCCACGACGGACAATTGGCTTTTTCCAGATTTACTACAAAGAGAAGTTATTTCTCATTAGGTTCAGATACATTTACATACATTTAAAAAAAATATAATGGCATAGTTAACTTTAGAAGCGATATAATTAGTTCTCAGTACACATTAATGTAAGGTCACATAATAATGAAGAAGTTAAGAAGTCATGATCATTATTGTTTACTCATTTCTGTCGTTACCTCACAGCCCCACCACAGTGCAGCGCATGGATTCAGTTCTCCTCTCGGTTGTGACAGCTGGGAGAGATCAATGTGAGGAGTTCAGGGGTGGGGTTTTTTGTTTACTTGAAGTCGCTTTTGAATTATAAGTGGAAGTCATATTCTGTAGCCTGCAGTCTTTGCAACTAAAGACTGAAATCAGGGCTGAAATTTCTGCAGAGAAGACACCTTCTTTCTTAAATTGGCCCATCCACTGTAATGACTGAATATGTAAATTGCAGTTCATTAGTGGAATTCTTCGTATGTATGGTAATCAGACTGTTAACAGCTCTGTTAGTTAATTGTTAGTTATACTGTGCCTGATTTTTTTTCTTCATTTTAATGTTGGAAGATACTCTGTCTAAATGTAGGGGGTTTGGGGTTTTTTTCCCCCACAAAGATGCGATTTGTTCTATGAGCTGAATATTTACATTCAAATCATGGGAAAAGCTGTAATTTTTTTTCAACTGGATGTTGCCCCTTCCAGATATCCATATGGTAACGGTTAACTGTGGATGGAGTTCAGATCCTTGTGCGGTGACTAAAGAGGTGACTGATGCTCTGTGTGCTGACAGGCAGGTTGGCAGTTTTAGCCAGTTCCGGTGCGTTTTTGATAAGCAGCAGAGCACAACCTTGGTCCTCCAAATCCAACTTTGGAAGCTATATCTCAAGTATGTTGCTAGTCAGGTTTGTGATAGTGGAGAGATTTTCCAGTGTAACGGTTGCTGTTCCCTCCCGTTTAATTTACTTCAAGTAATGGGAAGTTGGTGGACAATGAAAGCTTGAAAGTTGAGATGATAATACGTATATCAATAAGTGGATCTTAATGGTTATCCTTTCCTCTTTAAAAAGTTGATCATCATTGTTTAGGCATTTTTAGTGATAAAGAAGTATTGGTTTTCACTTTCTATTTCTTCTGTGCATTGTTTTACTCATTAATGCTGTCTCTCCTTGTGATATTTCTAGACTTCCAATCCTATTGATGTTGCAGCCAGACCTGGAACTGTCCCACATACCCTGCTACAGAAAGATCCACGGGTCTGTAGGAAATGTTATCTTTTTCTCAAGTAAAGCTGTTGCTCCTGAAAAGCTTGAATGCTAGAGCTACCATCTTCAATATGTCCAAATTAGCATGCTAAAACGAAAGCTTAATCCGAACTGTTGCAGTCAGTGCACACTAGGGAAGCTGTATGAGAACAGTTTAAATCCTGATCCTTACTTCTGTTCATCGTTAGCAAAGCGAACAGATCCTATGCAACGGAACGGCTCTGGCTTTGCTGTCAGCAGGCATCCCCACAAGCCCAGGGGTAAAGGCATAAAAGTCCAATTTGATGTAGAAGTGTACAAACCTCTTGAAGATTTATGTTTATACTCTGTAATTGTTTTTAATGCGGGTAATGACAGTTATTCCCTTGGTTACTGTATCATTGATTGCACCAGTGAAATACGGATGTGCTTTATTGATCGCTTGGTGCCTCTGGATTTTCGAGTTCTGGTGTATGTGAACAGCATTTATTGTCTCAGCTCTCGTAGCCTTTTTCTGTTCTTCCTGAATGCCCATGGGTTGTTTGCATGTTTGAATTAATATACATGGTTTGCAAGGAGGAACATCACGCAGGCATGTTTTTAGCAGAACTCTGTGACAAAAGCAATGGGGAGCTCTCCTTGACGATGCATGTTGTGGTGTGACTCAACTTTGAAGTGTAGCAGAGCTGTTTTCTTTGGGTTGTGCCAAGTTTCAGGGCTTTGGTTTGCTCTGGATTGGTGCTGTAGTTGAGCTTTATACCAAAAGGAACCACATTTTTTCGTTTCTGTTTATTCCATCTAATTGAAGAGATAACCAGAACCTCCCATCATTAAGTCATTTAGTTTTATGCTCCCTTTCAGCCTGTAGCAGAGTTTCGATTATTTCAGGATGATGTATTGTGCCATCACTGAGTCTGCAAGGTACCTCTTACACCTATAAATCTCTTTTAATATTGCATTTCAAAAAAGAAAATTCAAAACAAATGAGAAGTACCGAATAAATTGGATTTATTTTCCAGCGTTAATTGATGAAGTGTGAGTGAAAAAAGAGAATTTACCCCAAAGACCCAGGCCACACAAATAATGAGAAAATTGGGTTTTGATACAGCCACTATTTACCAGCATCTGTTCCAATGTGAAAAATATTCAAGACAAAGCCCATTTGAGACAAGAGGACACACCAGGCAGGCAGGCAGTCGGTGAAGGCTGTTTGAATGTACAAGTCAAGGACCTCATGGCATAGCCATTGAACGGACAGAGTCACTGGTTTGCAGAGGCACATCTGAAACACCGTTCCAACCCAGTTCAAAGGATCAGCCCTGCGAACAAGTGGCCCTCTCCACCATCCAGTCTGCTCGCGAGCCGAGAAGCCTTGGAAGACGAGAACAGAAGTTTGCCCTAAGGATAGACCTGTGCTTTTCTTCAGAGTAGCTAACCAGCCATCTTGGTAGCATTCAATCAACAAATTAATGGTGATGCCAGAGGACAGAGCCCTCTTAGTTGCTTGTCAACACTTAGGTAGAGCAGCCATGGGGGGAGGGAGACCGGCTCAAATACGGAGGCTAAGGACTAATTATTATCCAAAAGGGCTTCATTTGAAAGTAAAATTACAACATTTTAATTTCATGTCTTAATGAAGCAATACAAATTTGTTAATTAGAGCAATTGTTTGAGTGACAGGCATGTAACCAAGCTGTCATTTCTTCTTCACAGTTGACAGATCCGTTCAGGCCAATGTTAAGGGTAAGAAATCTTCTTGTGATACAGTTTGTCAAGCTTGTCTCAGTCCCCACCGGGTTAAAGCAGCAGACTAATTATAAAGCAATGCCATGTTTTATCTTGGGTATTCTATACCATGTCTGCTGAGCAGCACGGTCAGTCCTTCTTTGCGTGCATCTTGCGGTCACTCGAGAAAATGCACAATTTCAAAGCCTGAAGTTTTCTGTTCTTCTCATGCAAACCGCTAGCATGAATCCTAGAGGTTAATCATGGACAACCCTTCCACCGCGCGGGCTTACAAGGCTTCCCGAGCCAAACCCTGCCGACCTGCCCTGGCACTGATCCCCTGTCATGTCACTGCAGACTGAAGGGTTTTGCTTTTCATTATTTACTGTGTGTTCTCAGGGTTACGCAGTATGGTACTTCATACCCAGATATCTTACTGTTAAGTGTAGACGGACAATCCACTTCAAACACAAAATATTTTAGAAATGAGGATCAAAAGATCCAGTCTTTCAGTGATCCAAAAGGGTTGTTTTCTTATGTCTTCAGCATGTTCAAGAAGGTGTAGATTTTGGTCGAACCAACCAAGTGAACTTACTGAAACACTAGCACAGCCGGTTGCTGTGAATAAGCAAAAGGCTTGAGTTTAGGGGAGTAGGCGTACGAGGTGGGTTTGATTCTTTTGTGGTTTTGATTGTGGGTTGGTATACACCTAGAAATAGAAGGCAGACCGTGTGCCATAGTTTGTGGAACATTGAAGTTACCAGTAGCTTGAGGAACTTCTTGAATTCCTGTGATCATTTTTAAACCTGCAGGAATAGTTAGCTATGTAGTTAACTATAGACCCCTAAATAACAGAATTGGAGAAAGGATATCCTGAACGAGCTTTTTTCAGACAAGATTTCCAAATGTCCTGGAAAGGGAGTACAAAATCAACAAGAAAACCCAAATAGCACTCTGGTTCTTTGCTCCCTCTCTCCTCCCCATGACTTAAAAGCATGGTGACAGGAAGCAAAGAGCCTTCCCAAACTGAGTGAATTGACTGACCTCCAATTTTTTCGGTACATTTATGAGCCAGAGTTTGGGAGGTACAGACCAGCAGTTATATGAGGGAGTCAGATTCATTCTGAAAACCAGAGTGATCTTTTAAAGTGCTTTCATCTTTTGGTGGAAAGGCTAGTCTTAGAGGAGCTGCACTTTCAGAAATGAACTCGGTGTACAGTTGTGAAGCTATCCAGGCACGCAGAGCAGCTGCGAACTGGGAGACAGCTTCACCGATTTCAGCAACACAAGCTTCATTCTCAGCCAGTGGCATCAGAGGACTGCAGGAGTGCGTAAAACCCGAGCCTGAGTTTATTTGGAGAGTAGAGTGACCCAGGAGCATTCCTGGGTATCCAGATAAACTTCTTAGCAAGGGACAAACCCTTTGCTTTTCTGGTTTCCCAAGAGGACAGAGGGGGAAGGCACGGAAGGGAGACCCTTTGCTTGCAGTTGTTTTGGCATGGGGAATCCCCTAGACCAAAACAGGCTGGGCTAAGAGTCAGCAAGAGCTGCTATAACTAGAATAAAGCATCACAGGCCTTTTAAAGTTACTAATTCATGTTGTATCCTTTTTTTTCTTTTTTTTTTTTTTTGCAGAAACCTGGGAAGTGGTGCGCTATGCATGTTCACATCGCTTGGCAGATATACCATCACCAACAGAAAGTCAAGGTCAGTCTTTTGGGCACGCCTGCGTTTCAGATGAATTGCAGAGTGCAAACCTGGGAGAGGAAGTTTCCCTCGGTTAGCAGTTCTGTGCCAGCACTAGTGCCTAGTTGAAGTAACCATGCGTAGCATTATAGCATAACCGTCTGTTTCAGTGAGGGCATGTCAGAATTAAAAACCTGAAGGTGGAGTCTCAAAGGAATGTCTGTGATGCTGCGGAGCAAGGACACCAGATATTGGGCGATAGCAACCAGTTTGTGGCTAGGAAGAGATAAATGGATGTGCCCGTGAGCGACAACACTGCTTTTATTTATGGCTGAGGACACAAACATATCAAGATTGAATTGTTTTAAGTCTGGAGAGGCTAGGCGTGTGTATCCCATTCCACTTATTAATGTTCACGGACAGAAGAGGGCACAGGAGGATTTCTCCCGTCCCTACGATGCTTTATCCAGTGTGGCTGCACAGGCTCCCATCAGTCTTTTTTCACAGCCCGTCTCCTGGCTGGAGGCTGGCAGCAGCACGTGTCTGGGCTGGTCAGGCAGAGACAGCCTCTCAGATGAAGTCATGTTACCCAGACACTGTCTCATTGCACCGAAGGTACAGGGCTGGAAATCAGTTCTCTGTTAGACGTGCTTTGAGACTTCAAGGGTAAGGGCCATGGCCAGTTTAGGGTCTACTGAAACACGTCAGAGAAAACCACATAATTTATTTATTTAACAGTTAAGGTATTTCCATTCTTACTTCAGCTGTATTTTCACTGCGCATGGGCTCTGTGAAGGTTGCTTTCCCTGTATAGTATTTTCATTGTATTCGTCACTGGAAAATTCTGTGTTGCTCCTGAAGCATTTCAGTGAGTCAGGAAAGGTCGGTGTTCTTTACTGTTCATACTCGTACTGCAGGAGTCAATAGCTTGGGTTCGAAAGCAACATTGACAAGGAGTCTGTAGCACTTTGCAGTCTGTGTATGCAATTGAACTGTATCAGGTAGTGCTATAAGAATATGAAGATGTCGAACAGCTACTAAAACCTGCAGCTAATAGAGTTTAAAAATAACCCTTTTAAACAAGGTTGGCAGGTTAATTTGCTGCAGTAGACATATCTCTCTTCTCTGCTTCCTTATGTTTCCCCTGCTAGTGATCTTCATTCATCTTCCCATTATCAAAAAAGACAAGATTATAGACCTAGAGAGTTATATGTCCTTTTTTTTATTTTATTGAAAAGGTATTTTCTTGAAATGAAATTATTATTCCCATGCCATCTATGTCCTTTGAATCTTCCTTGATTTGATATTCAAAGAGAGGTCATACTGGTGTATTTATAACTCATAGTAAATGCCATTTTCATGCAGCCATTTCTTTTACCTAATACTTGTCTATCTTGCATGTTAAGAAACAGGAGTAAAGCCCAGAAGTGCAGGAAGGGATGTTACTTTTTGAGGCTGTGCATGATGATAATTTCAAGAATAATTGGGAAATATATTGCACTATCTCTGTTCAGTCAAAAAATTAGGTACAGTCTACAGTCATTAAGGCAAGTTGGTTTATGTCGGTGTGGGCTGTCAGACTCCCACATGGGAACGACGTCCTCCCCTCTGTATGTGACCACAAAGCGTGAATTCTCTGGCTGAAGGCTCATACAGAGCGATTTCTCCTTCCAGCCCAAGGCTGTGAAGGTGCCTTTTCTTCTGCACAAGCTGAAGATGGTGCCTGGCCATACAGAGCAGGGGATAAAATATATTTACGTAGAGATTTCAAGCGTGCGTGCAGTGCCACCAGACTGCTTGCAAAGTATGGAGGAATTGATAACTGCCTGGCCCGCTAGTAATTGCTTGCAGAGGGCAACAGCAGACGCTGCAGAAGCAGGCGAGATAGGAGACTTTAAAACACAACCTTCCTGACCCCAGGAAAAATTGCATGCAGCTGCGGATGCTGTTTGCCTGCCTAAAGCTCTGCACCAGGACAGAGCTCAGACCTGTGTGACCTGGGCGCGCACCCGGGGGATTCCTCAGACGAAGCCGGTGTTGCATGCCAGCTCTGGGCACAGACCGATTTTACACTCCTCCATAGACTGACCGGTGTGTTACTGCCTTGGATTCAGGAGACAATTTGTGCTCCGTAATTGGCCCTCTCTCTTTTAGCAAAGGCCTCATGGCCCGATCTAACATGCCATGAAATTAGAGCAGACATTTACGTTGATTTTAGTGGGCCCTGAATTAAGGCATTGTACATTTGCTGGACTTCAGACCCATTCGTAAGGTTTATCAGCAAGAGGGGTGCTCTCCGGAACCACAGCTGGGGATACAATAGATGTGATCAATTTTGTTTGGTACTATTTTAAGGTAAACCAGCACATTAAGAAATACTTTAACGCATCCGTGATATTCCTGTTCCTCTTCAGACAGGGGATTTTTTCATTATTAGAACAGCACCATTCATATTGCTGCAATTAAAGTTTCAGTCAGGTTTTGCTGTTCTGAGTAGTGCCTGTCAGAAGTTTGTAACTTGCTTGTTAAAAAGAAGAACAAAAAGAGTTGACAGTGTAAGAATCTGGCATGCAGGCTTCAACTGAGAGGCGTTTGTATTTGCTGAACTTGTTAAAGCACTGCAGTGTTACTTTCTTGAAAGACATGACCTTAACTTGGCCATCTTTTCCATTTCAGTGTTCTCGCAGGCCATTGTCTCAAAACACTGATAAAGGCCTTTTTTTGCCTTTTTTGGGGGGAGGGGTTTTTTATTGTTTGTTCTCATAGCTACAGAGATACGTTACTAGCACTTGAAAAACAGCTACTAGGCATGCACATTAACTTGGTCATAACTTTTTAATATGGATATTTATATCATTGTAATAGTCTGTACTCTGAGCTGGCACAGTATTAAATACTGATTTATAAAGCGTGTCATGCTCAGGAATTACTGTTAAGATCTACTGGTTCAGTGTTACACATTTGTAAATCCTTTCAGCTGACCTGCACAATTAATCAGCAATCTGTGTTTAGGGAGTTCTGGCAGCACAGGTAATTGGGAATTTGGTTTTCCTCCTCATTCTATAAAGCTATTGAGGTAGGGACTGCTAAAACAAGTATATGGCACAAAGAAGAGCCCGTCCTTCATCCACTTATCGTTTACAATACGGCTACCTCAGCAAATTTACCTTAAAAAGAACGCCTGCTCATTCTAATGCTATATAAGTAAAGACAGTGACATACGGTGCTTTGAACTTGGAGTGCAAGCAGTCAGAATGGGACTTCAGTTCTTTAGATTCAAATATGCTTCATCTGTAAATTCATGCATTTTAGCCCCTAGCTTGCTCGGTCGCGGTCCGAGAGGCACTGAAAGATCCGCTGCATCAAGTGTTTCTAGATTGTAGCTTCCCGTTCACAGTCAGTGATCCTGGTGTCCGTTGACTCGTCCCCGCCGTAACTGTCTGGCACGTGCTCCTTGCAGCGGGAGGAGGGTCCGCAGCCAGCTTTTAACACGCCTGCCCACCTGGGGTTGGGTCCAGACTGGCATTTCTCTTTGGCTATGTTTTTATGATTTTAAGACAGACCTATTCTTACAGCAAGCAAGTGTCTGAGGCCTCTCCAAAGATTTTTAACTTTGTTCTTGAAGTCAGGTCTGTGCTGAAATGTTTTGCTCCAGAGGGATGGATGTGAGCGTACATGAAAACAGCGTTGAACCTTGCAGGAAATACGCAGTGGGAGCCGGAGATTTTCTCTCTCTGCGTTTCGATCCCCCTTCCTTGGGAATAGCTGTGCACCTATGCTGGGGGTCCCATATAATATTCATGTTAAACTAATATTCTTGTTAAAACGTCAGTTAGTGTGAATAAATTGCTATGCCCACATAATTCTCAAAGTGTCTTTTACTGCTGCCTTTTAGGACAGTCTCTTCCAAATCCTCATTTTTACATTTCAGAAACAGATGCAGTCTGATCCGCACAAGCTGGACTTTGGCCTGAAACCTGAATTTCTGAGCAGGCCACCAGGCCCCAGCCTTTTTGGAGCCATCCACCACCCCCATGACCTGGCCCGGCCCTCGACTCTCTTCTCCACAGCCAGTGAGTGCTGAGAAGTGAAATCTCCTTCTTGTGGCGTGCTCATTAAAATGCTAATCCTTGCCATGTTAAAAGGAAATTTCCCGTATGCTTTGGCTTATGAACTCTCTACAAGACATACCAGGGGCTATTAGTCTGTTTGATAAATATTTTTAAATTATGCTATGTGCTTTTTAAGAAGCCCAACGTGCCAAAATGCCATACGGGTAGTAAATGGAAGAACATTTCGTCACACAGTGATGTCTGATGCATCACGGAGATGACAGGTTGGAAATGTGCTGTATTTTACATGCTCTTTTTTTTCAGTACTGAAACATTCCTCCCCTTGCCCCTTATACTCGAACTGGGAATTTCTCTGCAGAAAAGTGGCTGCTATTTTGCATAGACTCCTTCCCTGAGAGCCGCTGCCCAGTGTACAGCCATCTCAGCTCACAGGAGCTGCCCTTGAAGAAATGATAGTAAAGCCCAGAGCACAGTGAGTCCCTTTCTGAGCTTTTGCTGGGAATTCACCCCTTTTGCTTTGTTTTGGCAGGTGGGGGTCATCCAGCCGGCACCCCTTTCGGCCCACCACCTCACCACAGCAACTTCCTCAACCCCGCCGCCCACTTAGGTACGTTCTCTCTGCGCCTAACTACTGGTGAATACAACTCAGCAGTAACACGTGCTGACCATTGAGACCATTAAAGGTTGCCCACGTGGAGACTCTCTGAGTACCCTGCCTACTTAACCTTTGCAAATGGCGCATTTTAGCCATTGCCCAAGTAGCAGTTCCAAATACACTGACAGCATGTCTTGAAATACTTCTGAAAACAATCTGGACGGTACAAGAGCGGAGTGACAGGGCTGGTCAGGTTTCACTGCAGTCGTGTTTATAAACGCCCTAAGGTTAAGGCGTTGGTTCATAGAGGTATTTCTTTTCTGAACTCCTGCTTAGATGTCTGTTTTTCCATTGAAGTGAGTGGGAAATATATCCTTAAAATCTTGTGATCTGGCCTCAGATGTGTCTGTTAGTAAAAATTAGTGAATACGCGTTTAAAAATGGAAGCAGCCAAGTTACCAAATGCTGTTATTTCCCTTCTAACTTACTGATGTTGTACGAAGGTAGTCTGCTGCCTACGGGAGCATCAGAGATCAAGACTCTCAGTTGGTATTTTGTTTTGTATCGAGAAGGATTTGAGGGGTCACCAAATTGAGACAGCAGACTCCTGATGTAGGTTTATCATTGTCCACTTAGCTGCCTACAGATGATGCTAGGTTTGCTCTTCCTTTTCTCTGTGCTGGTATTTATCAGAAGTAGTTTCATCAAAATCATTAGACTTCTCCAAAGTAAAGAGAGAGGACAATTTGCTTGATATAACTTAATTACACTCTGTATGCATGAACTACTTAAAAAAAATTACTCCAATATTTTTCAGTCTGTACTAGTTTTCCGTGTAGCATTAGCAATAAATATCAAGAGCGTTAAAAAATGTTCAGGTCAGCGTGACACATCAGTATAATAGGACATTTTATTTATATCCTGGCTATGGTTTAGGAGACGTGGCCTGGAGGTGTTTTAGAGCACAGTTGCCAGAGCTAATAATAGTCTTGCTAGCCAGAGACATTTCCTGAGAAAGACCATGAAATTGAATTGGAAGGGAATAAGAGGAAATAAAAATCGAGAAGTTTGCAGGTTTTAAATGAAGTAGCTACTTAAGCAGAAGTACAGGCCTCATTACCATGTATGTTTTGACATCTTGTTTTTCTTTGAAGGGGAAGTTTTTCTAGTAAGATGACCCCTGCATACTGTCACTGGGGAAAAAAAAATGTTGTTTTCTGTCCCACCCCCTCACAATCCCTGCTGTGTTGTGGGAGGATGATGTTCAGCGACGGACGGGCACAGACTGAGCTTTCGTGCGGGTGTAATGCAGTTGGATAACACGCTCATGCTTTGTCATAACTGCCAGCACGGCAGTGAGCTTCAGCTGTTTCTGTTGGTTTGCAGAGCCTTTCAATCGACCGGCTTCCTTCAGCGGGCTCACTGCAGTGGGTAGTAATGCCTTCGGGGGACTCGGGAACCCGACAGTCAGTGAGTAACCTCTTTGTTTATGAATTCTTGTTTGCTTTGTAATTCAGGATATTGAGTGATGGTGACTATTTGCTGTCTTATTTACCAGTTGCTTAGACCACATACCGCTAAGAGATGGGAATTTGAAAAGCGACCTTTTTCTTCTAAATAACAGCATTTTTTTAGTCATCAGTAAATTATTTTCTGTTAGTTACTTCATAGTTTGGGTTCAACATAGTACTAAATGTCACCATTATGTTGTTCAGTTAAAAAAAGAAAAGACTATAGAACCTGTGAATCTAAGGAGTTGTGAAATTTCTCGTGGTTTTGCTGCATGTTCAAAATTAGTTAATGTTTGCAGGTGCCTGGAAAAGGTCACTAACCTGCATTTATTTGTCCAGGATCATCAACATTTCTCTAGATTTGACCAGTCAGAAAAGATCATCCTTGTAAAAATCACTCTTTCTCCATGCTTCAAATCTGGCATGATTTTGGTCACATATTATTTTACTTTGGTTGAGGATCAAATGCAACAAGTTCCATTATTTATAGTCCATATAATGGTCATTTCCTGATGTCTCCAAAATATTTGGAATAAGGTTCATTGTCATTTTTATCTTACTACTTCATCCCTTGTCAATTTTATCCACAGCATTTCCGTTTCCAATTAAAACAGCTGTCAGATGCCTGCCCGTTTTTAGGAATGAGACCCTCTAATGAATCTCTGTTAATTTCCTTTCCTTTTCCAGCTCCCAATAATATGTATTCATTTTAACTCTGAGTGCTGTAAAAGTTTTTTTGGTAAGTACCTTCACTAGAGCATACCTTTTTCTTAAACCTTTTTGTTTTCCACTTCACCATTTCAGCACCCAACTCAATGTTCGGCCACAAGGATGGCCCCAGTATGCAGAGCTTTAGCAACCCTCACGAGCCCTGGAACCGACTGCACCGAACTCCTCCTTCGTTCCCGACCCCTCCGCCCTGGCTGAAGCCAGGAGAGCTGGAGCGCAGTTCATCTGCTGCAGCTCATGACAGAGATAGAGATGTAGATAAACGAGACTCATCTGTTAGTAAAGATGACAAAGAAAGGTACGAAAGAACACTTCCAAGAATTGTCTAGTTCAAAGCTTGGGGCTCTGTTCCGCTTTTAACCCTTCCCAGCCTGGCACATTGTTAAACTTCAGTAGAGGGACACTGGGAGAGCTGACGCCGTTGCTGCCTGCGACGCGAGGCACTACGGAAGAGGCAGGTTTCTAACTCGGGTGTTCCCTACCGCATCTGTTTCTCTTCTCGCTTGCACCGCAGTTCATCAGAAGGAGCTTTGCTGGAGCAGAGTTCAGGCAGTGTCAAGTGAGAATGGAATCAGACCCACACACTCTGTTACCTTGTGGGTGACATTGTCGTAGGTCTTCTGAAGACTTAACATGTAGGTAGGTGCCTGATGGGATGAAAAAAAGGATTATAAAGTCCATCAGACGCATATCTGCACCTTCAAATACTTAAATAATTTTGTAAATCGGACCTTGTCTGCAAAACAAGTAACACTACCTCCCTCCTCAAAAATGGACTGGCCAGAGGGACCACTGGTTGTAACATTACAACACTGTAAAATGCACCGGGTATGCCATGTTCCAATACCACTGTAAGTTTCAGTGCATGCAGCTCATGAAGTGAACCTTAATTCCCCGCAAAAAAGCCACACGCATGTGCACTGCTGGTACACACCCTCCGGCACAGTTTTCATTTGGTGTTTTACATGGACTTGCACGCTAACATGTCCAGGCTGGGAAGGGTTAATGGAAAGTAAAACCTGGTCATTTTTTTTTGTCAGGACTGTTCCCATTATACAGTTAACTCAGTAACAATTCCTCTTAACATTTAAGTACCAAATTATAAGAATTTGCCATTCAGCAAGTGTCATGTCTTCCTTGAAATATGTAGAGAGGCTGATTTCAGCTTTTTCAGTTGTGGCTTAATGGCTTTCTTATTAAGTTTGCACATTACTACATAATGGCTATTTGTTTCTAATTTTTTAGCATAAAAAAATATTTAGGAGATGTGCTTTTCTGACTTCTCTGTCACTAACCCAAATATACGCATTAGTAGCCTTTTCTAAAAGAAGTTATGCTAACACATTAGATATTCTAAAAATACATTTAAGAGCTTTTCTATGACGTTGTAAAATGTGAAGAGCAAGTCAAACTACAGATCTTTTCACCTACATTTTCCATTTGGAATATTTTCTGTTTGGTAGCATAGCTTCATTATTTTCATGTCTGGTGTTAATGCTTCAAAATAAATTGCTGTTACAAATTGGGATTCTGTCCTGCAAAATGCTTAAGCATGTGAGTAACTTTACTGGCTTGAATGGCAAAGCATTTTAGTTACTAATGATGTGGGTAGTCTTTAGAATGATGTGATTTTCTCAGTTGACATTGCCTGAACTCCATGTCATAGTTCAGAACATACTTATTTTCAATAATTTGAGAGCTTAAAAGTAAGCGTCATTCATACTTCATACTTCTGCACAATTATGGCTACAAGTGTAGTACAGTAACGTTTTTGCCGATCTAGTGTTGCTGTGCATCCATCTGTGTGGTTTTGAAGAGTTCTACTTTGCAGCATGCTCACGCTGTTGCCTGTACGAGAAGATGCTGAGAATCCCTTCCTGGAGACGTGCTCCCTGTGTAGATAATGTCTGGAGTAGTTTGTGAGCCTCTCATCCCTACTCTTTTATCTTCAGTGGCACCCAGCGGGGTGAGGATGTAGGCCTGCTTTCCAGTTGAGGTCTCAGTCTCTGTTACCTATTTTAAGCTAGTTTGCCCCAGCAGGAAAAACTGGGAATCGCACCCAGAGGTATGATTTCATCTCAGAATCATCCTGTCATCAAGGGTCTAACTTGTATCAGCCCCCAAATGGGCCATCTAGCCAAAAGCATGCCTGTAGATTTGTTGTGTTATCAGTGGAAAGGTACCTCAGAGATACCTCTTAGCTTGGCTCTTCCCCACCTAAGATGGGTCCTTCAGTGGAGTGAATGACTGGTCGCTCCTCTTGGAGAAGCTGTATGACCAGTGTACCGCAGCCCCTCCCAGCTAGGTTGAGATCAGGTAAATCCCTCAAGGTAGCTTAGATGATATGAAACTGCAATCTGTGAACCTTTTCTAGGTGCAGAGCTGGCTGGAGAGTTACACTGCAATGCCCTGATGCAGTCCCCACTTTCTCCTGGCACATTGTTTGCAGTTGTGGGGTTTTTTTTGTTTTAAGGACTCTCTTTTTCCAGCCTAGCATTAGGAAAATATGAGTAAAAATGGCTATTGTGAAAATAAGATTTGTTCCTTCTCAGTGGTATTTTGTTTAAAAGATGTCACTGAGCAATTCCATTCTAATAATGACATTTAAGTGTATGTTATCCTAGAGCATTAAAAAACCACCCCAAGAATCTACTGATCTTTTTATCAACATAAATGAGGCAAAGTACTCGGCATAAGATACTCAGTGTCTTTCAGTGTAGCGTACAGCCCCGAAACATACCTTACTTATTATGAAGTTCATTTGAGAGCATGATCTTACGTTTCTTCTTTGTGGAGACAGCAGCTTAGAGCTGTTCCCATATTAGTAACCTAAGAAGCCCTTCGCAAATCTGAGGCTAAAAAAATGATTCCCTGTCTGACCACTGAACTACATGTAGTTCGCTCAAGTGAGCTATATAATCAATAGCCTCTTGAGATAATACCATCGTTGTAACTGAATAGGATGAAATTGGCAAAGGAATATGTTATTTTGGTTCCACATATATTTTTCTTTAGTTACAGAAAATGCCTGTTATTTTCTCTAAATGCTATGCATAATTTAAAATACGTCAGTTACATAGAAAAATGATTAAGTATCAGCAGTAGGACAGAGTGAGCTCTCCTAGTGAAACAGAACAATTAAGGATGCCCTCTGAACTAGTCCCATGAGCAAAATGAATAAAAGACAAAGTATTGCAGAGTCCACAAGCCAGTGCTTTCCCAGCAAAGTAAAAGAATCTAGTCTTCACATCGAGAAGCCTTCACTGGTGTGCCTTGACTTGGTCTCACTGTGTCCAAATCTGGAAGCTGTTAAATCAAATGCCTCAACGTTTGGTGGAAAGGAAGAGGAGGGAAATGAGAGCCAGGACACAATTTCCAGACTGTTCAGGGCCCAGTCAATCAAAGCAGAACCTGATACCAAGGAGTTAATTGGTAGTCAGTGCAGACTAAGCAGTTCTGGTATCAAACGCTCCATCTTACAGATGTTTTCTAACAGTCACATTCTGGACGCTCGGAGGTCTCTCAGACATGGCCCATAAAATGACATTTTCAACAATTCCGTCCAGATGCAGCAAAAGATGCATCTGGTAAGATGATGATAACGAGAGTTTCCTATTCAAAGATATTTTTTCTGCAGTTGCTGCAGTTTCAGTTTCCAAAAGTACCTACAGGGAGAAATCTTACGCAGTTCAGCTCAGCAGAACAGTAGGTGGCAGAAATTGTAGAGGTGAAGGAGGAAGTGTCCACTTTGAAGTTGCCCTCTGAGTTGTCCTTCAGCCAGCTGGTATTGCTCGTCTTGTCCAGAGTGAGTTTCAAACTGCTGGCATCATCTGAGCACGTTCAGGTTACACTTTGCTGAGCAGACATTGCAGCACCCAAAGAGAAATTCTGTAAACTGGGGCTGGCAGAGACTTCAGAGGGCCTTGCTGCTTATCCCTCACTTTTGCTTTTGACATCACGTTGTCCACCACCCTGCATGGAACAGGATTTCCATGCTCAACAAACAGCATATGTCCAGCACTGAATATATGGAGCTGTCTTTATGGAGAGACTCCAGCTCAGAGAGTAACTGAAATTAGTGAGAGGTTAAAATCGTTGAACTGAGGAATTAGATTTACCTTATGAATTGGATTCATTTTAAGTAGGAAAGCTTTTTCACTTAGTGTTGCCCATAACAACTCCTGGTCAACACTGCTTCCACAGAATAATTGGTGCAGAATCCATTCAGATATTTAGGTTTTTGTCTACTACCAGACAATAATTCTCTAATCTTTTGTGCAACATAAATAGGTTTGAAAAATGGAATGAATTCAGAGTATTTTGAGACTTCTAGCATTGGCAGGGAGATGCATTGGCCCTGTCCCTGCTCTGCTTGCTCTACCCCAGAAATGGGAAATGGTTGGTAATCTGAAGAGCAACTGACTCCAGAGAGATGGTATTTCCAGAGCTAGCCTGAATGATAGGCATGTAGGGTGGGCTGATCTCTCCTGAGGAAGTCACAGAATCACAGAATGGTAGGGGTTGGCAGGGACCTCTGTGGGTCATCTAGTCCAACCCTCCTGCCGAAGTAGGGTCACCTACAGTA